CGCGCCGCAGACCGCGTGTGCGCGCCGAGCGTTCTGCGTTTTGGCCATTAAAACAACCAAACTTGCGTGTTATTTGTCGAGGTAACGCTGTTACTTGTGATCTTTGAGCTTTAAAGTTTTACGTTACGTTGCAGAAAGAGCTCGATTATTAAAAATTAATATTAAAAATTAATGGTAAGGCGTCACCTCAGTTTTGGGTTTGCATCTGCGTTTCTGATGCATCACTGTTAAAACTCTTTTTTTTTTTTTTTTTAATACCGGTCCGTATTACCTAACGTTAAGGCACATGAATTCCCCAATGTGAACATGCGGATGAGCAGCTTCAGCGCTGAACTTGTCAGGCGTTGGCTGCAACTTCTTGCGGCACTGATGGGAGAGATGGGAAGAGTTTGATACCTGTGGGAACAGATGGATCGTGTGCAGGTGTCCCTGTGTGTTACCTGTCCCCACGTCCTCCACTTACCTCAGCAAGAACAGTGTGTGGGGGGGAAATAGGGGGGAAAAAAAGCACCTGGGTTGTTGCACTTTAAAACGTGTGCATTTTCTCCTTCCCGCACCAGCTTGTTTTAATCAGACTGTGTATCATCTCTCATGTATCAAATGCTCCACACATCTTGGTATTAAAGGGCTGCTTAAAACCTGCATAATGTGTATGAGTTTTGTACTGTTAATCACCTTCGAGCTCTGATTCCTCAATTCTCATCTCATTTTTGGTGTAGTCTGATGGAAAATGATGCCATTCCAAGTAGGTGAGAAGTGTTTACCAAAATGTCGTAGCATAGATTGAGCCAAATAAATGCCTGTTAATGGTGTTTTATTCTTTCAGTGATAATTGTACATTTTAAATAAAGCTACAAAGCTGCAGTCCTGCAGCTGCTAAAACTTAAAATAGGTTGTTATCCCCCTCCATCAATGTTGTGATACTTTTCCAGATTCTGTTGGGTTTTGGTTGTTTGGGGGTTTTTTTAAGCCATAGCTTAAATCCATTGAATTTTTTAGAATTACTGTAACTTGGTTGAGCATGATGAGGAATAGTAGCCCAGGCAAGGGAGGGAGGAGAAAAAGGTTTGTGGCGTTTTCTTTGAGGTAGGTGTTGTCTACAGAATTACACAGGGCAACCTGAGATGTGATGATACAATGTGAAGGCTTGTGGCAATGTGAAGTTTCCTGTTAAATGTAGTCACGAGTTCCAAAATATGTCCTCGTGAGACTGCCTATCCTGTATTCTCACATCTTCTAATCGAGTTAAGAGTTTTTAAATTTGCTTTTGAGTTTGTCTCCCCATCTACCATTGTAAGCTAGCAATTTGTCCACATGAGTGACAGCTTCATGAATACTTTCACCTACATCTGCCTTCATGTTGGAGGCTGACACCCCACAATATGCTGTGTGTCTGCTGGCCTTTGGAATTCTTTAGCTACAGCACTGCTGGCTGAAGTTGATTCTAAGAACAACCAGGGATAAATGCAGCTCGGAGCTGCTCAGTGTCTGGCTCCCTGCAGGAGCACACCGAGGTGGTTTGGGGTTTGTTTTTAAGGTTTGGGTTTCTTCTTACCTCCTCTCAGATGGAAGAATGTGTATATGTTCACACAGAATCTAGTAGAGTTCTAGGAACCCTACATTGTTGTAATGACCCCCTTGAAATTTATTCTGTAGATGTAAATGTTGTATTTATGTGTGGCTTAATTCAGTTTATAGTCTTGTGTATCGCAAAATGTAGCAGTGGAGATGGGTTAGTGCTGGTAGGGTCCTTCACATCAAGATCTGGCCACTCTTAGCTCTTTAAAGGCCTTTTTAATTTCTCAAAATTTCAGATTTGTTTTTGGGCTGCTCATCATCCATGAAGACACATTTTTGGCATGCCTGAATACCTTTTAAAATAATCTCTAACAAACCGTGTTCTGTGTGGGCAATACATTATTCTGTCTTTGTAAAGCACAGGCTGAGTAGGAATTAATACAGGGTACATCTGTCCTATGCTCAGTCTGCAGGCTGTCCTCATCTTAATTAAGCTGTGTATGTTAAAAACTGGTGTGCAAACGTGGCTTTAAAGTTTAATGTCTGTTTTTCTCTATTTTATGTACACTTGCATATCTCAGATGCAGTATAGTGGGCAGATGGTAGGGAGAGACGTCTGTAATTAGTGATAACTTTGTTTTTTTCTTTAAATGTATGAAAGACCAGAGTAGTTAACTTAAATTTGGAAATACCTTTAAAATTCTTGAGTTCGATTCATGTCTTTTGAGCGTGGTCTTGTGAATTGAATGACTAAAGGTTTGCAGAACTTGGGGATGGGGGGGGAAATAACGTTTTCCCGCAGTAGGAAAGAAAACGCTTTCTGAATCTTGAATTATTGGCTTGGCAGAAGAACACATTTTCTTTAAACTTCTTTGTAAAATAGTCCTGGAGATAACAAAGCCAGAGCCACTTCAAGACAAAAAGAATAATCCCACAGCTCAATAATAACTGTAAAGTTTTGCATTTATCTTCCCTCTGCTCTTGGTATTTAAAGCAGTACAATGGCAGGGATGTAAGGAAAACTGCATTGATCACATTAAGCATGTATTTATTTATAGTGTAAATACCTTAGTGCAGGTTGTGTTGGAGAAGATCTCTAGCAATACAGTAATGTGAGAATTCAAGTAAGATGAATTCCTGTGTGAAATATCTTCAATTTCCTGACTTCGCTCAAAGGGCACCGTGTCATCTCTTTTCACTTCCCCTTCCCCAGATTCCATTTCTGAAATGGTAATGGCATATTGGACCGAACAGAAACGTGGATAAGATAATCTGTGCATTTTGCTAATGAGCAAAGCCATGCTACATTGCATTAGTTTGAAACTAAAAGCTTTGATTTCTTTTCTGCATTAGTCTCATCCACTTGCACGTATCTGCTTCTTGTTGGTCGCTGAGCTCAGCCAAGCTCAGAGGTGTGTGCTGGGAGCTGTGTGGTGACTCTGCATCTAAAAGCAGTTGGTCACTGCCCTGTGCTGTGTGACAGAGTTCTCTGCCTGCTTGTTTTGGGTACTTCTCAACAGCATCTCGTTTGGTGGCCTCACTAAAGTATCTCTGATAAACAATTGTCCTTATGTGGAGCTATTAAAATATCAGCTCTAAGGTCGTGTTCTGGTTTGTTTAATACACTTCAAAGCTAATGATTATGGGAAGTGCAGCCCGTGGCTAATGTGATAAAAGCTGCGTGAGTTATCCACGTCTTTTCCTGGGCTTTTGGAGTCATTGCAAAGCAGCTGCAGCTCTGAGATGGGAAAAGAGGAAATTTCTTATTCATACAAGCTAATGAGTTAAATGTGTGTATGGCTTTTGGGTTAATAAGGTTTGACCTCCTGTGTTGTAAAGGATTTTTGGTTTAGTCGAGTGTTCAAATATTATGATAATTCTTTGGAAATATTTTTGCAGACCTTGAGACTATTCTGTCCATAATGACAAGTAATTTACTGTCTAGAAGGAGAAAGTTAAAACAGGGTGGTTGCATTTAGTTTTAACCAAATGCCTTCTGATTTCTAGGCTGTCTTTGCACTTATGTACTTGAGCCCTGCAGTCTTTCACCATTACATCTAAATAAATAAATGCTTAATAACAGCAACTGTTTCTGCTCTGCTGTGTATGTCTGACAGTTCTAACCCCATGATGACTTGATGAGCCTAATGGACAATCTGCTGCTTCTAGAAAGATCAATTCTGTCTGAATGCAAGCTGTAGCTGTACCATATGTGCAGCGGGACTTCTGCAATGAACAAACCAAGCACTTGTTAGCTGGGAATGGTCTCTCCAGACCTCGGAAGAGCTGCAGTTCCTGTGCTCTTCTGTTTTCATCTATTTTTGTCATCCATGTTTCTGCATGTGCAGTAGGTTTGGGGGGATTTCCTCATCAGAGAAAGGAGAACTGTCATTTCCTTTTTAACCTTTTTGAACAACACATTAAAAGCTCTGTTTTGCTTTTGCAGTTCTGACTGAATTCTGAGAATTTTGCTCAGATACCACAGGAGAGTAAGTGCCTTTGCAATAAGATAACGTGCCCATTCCAGCTCTTGCTTCTCCTGTAGAAGTTTGGAGTGAGATGGAGAACTTAGACATCTACTTTTACATGTGTATTTTTTTTTAGCTGACCTTGGCATGTCAAGGTAACGTTCAGAGCGTGGGTACTTTGCCAAGGACTGGCTGTCGGAGCTCCTCACGATCACTCAGCCACTGGAGATGCCTCCTTCCCTGGCAGTACTGCAAAACTGGAGTTTAGGAGCTGTTTCTCTCTGAGGTGATGTTTCCTGCCCTAGTTTTCCCCATACATCTCAGTTATGTAAGTTGGAGTTAAGAAGAAAATGGGTTTAAAGATTTTAAGACATCTTTTTTTAATTGGTACAGCAAAAGTGCCCTTTTCCAGTGCTTTTCCTTCCACATTTAAATTAAAGCAGCTCCTGGAGCATTTAATGATTGTGTACTTCACATGGCAATTGGAGTTCACTGAAGCAACTCATGTTTTCTTTCTCAGATATCTTTTTTTCAGAAGTGTTTGCTCTGGTTTCTAAACTATTTAAAGCAATTAATCAAACCCTGAGACAGCAGGAAGAGCTCACTGTAATATCAGATCTTCAGCTTGAGATCCGTTTGATGCAAAGGGGAGGTGCCCAAATCCCTGGGAGTGTGTGTAAAGCCTGTAGGTGAACGATGACCTTTTCATCTGCAAAGAGATATGAGAAGTGGGAGGAAGAAGAGAGGGGAGCTGAGTTATTTTTACTGTAAATATGTCACTTTATTGACTTGTTAATTTCAGATTTATTCAAAAAAAGCAGGAGGAGGAAACAGCAATGTCTGCCAAAAACAAAGTAATTAGTGGGAGTTGAAAGATGTCTAATGATTCTTGCAAGGACTAAAGAGGAATAAACTAGTCTCTTATTAAACTGGATATGGACTTCTAAAACACTGTAGTAATTCTATTTTGTCTTTAAGACCATGTGCAATTGCATATGGTGAATAAAAACCTCTTTAATACAGTAACATTGTTTATTCACAGTAACAGTACAGGCAGCAGGTGGGGTTTCGATTTAGAAAATAAAATAAAAAAACAAAGCTGACTCCACACTTCTAAAATAAAGGTTCAGATAACACTTGACAAAGCTGATGTTTGAGTTGAAGATGACAGAAGAGTTTTAGATTAATGCTTAATGTGCCTGCTACACTTCCATGGTCTAGTGTGACCAACAAGGTCTTGTTTCATGGCTGCAGGTGCTGCGGACCAGCTGCTCTTTGCTGTGCCCAGTGACTGTGGTTAGGCCAGTCCCAGGATCCCTCAGCACATCTGCTCCCCTAATTCCCTCCAGCCCAAGGAGCTGTTGGTGGAGGTGTGGAGTTGAGGAGCTGGGAAGAAGAGGACAGCAGTGTCTGAGAATCTCTTCAGAGGAGCAAGGCAAGGTTTTCAAAAGCACAGCCATGCAGGGGTTGTGATGTAACCCTGGGAGATGCAGAGCTGAACCCTTTAATTTGGTGCTGTTCTGCTCTGTGGTTGCTGTGATCTCCTTGTCATCCTGCAGTGATGTTGCCCTAAGTGTGACAGACAGGGATTATGTGTTGTCCCCACTGATGGTAGTGAAAGTCTGGAGGGAATATTTTGCCTTTGCCTCAGGTCATTCCTCTGCATCAGAACTGGGCCTTCCCCCTTCATCTGCTGGCCTGGTTTATCCTCCTCCCTCAGTGCCCAGGTTTACCCCTGAGCACCTCCCTTTCCATGCTCCACTTTCCTCTGCTGTTCTCACAGTGCTCTGTGCTCCTGCAGTGAGGGCTCACAAATCTTTGCTTCCTTTGACCTCCAAGGGTCCTGACTTCTGCCACCTGCAAGTGCCACTGCAAGGAAGCAGAGCTGTGAGAAGCACTTGCTGTGGGTGAGCAGGAGTAGGTTTGTTACTACCAGTTCAAACAGAAAATAGCAGTAGTCTCTGAAATGTCCCAGCCCCATGTGAACTTGGCCAGAAGTGATGGGGTTTCATCTTAATATTTTTATTTGTTTCTTTTAAGCCAGAGAGAATAAAATGTCCGATGAATAACTTCTTCCCACATCTCCCCCTGCCCCTCATCTGACAGACTCAGGTGTGTCAGGTGTGTAAAGACCATCTCTAAATAGCTCCTGGGAATCCAGCAAGGCAGGAGATAACAATCTTAGAGAAAATGTCATGGTAGCACAAAAGCCCACGTGGATTTTGGAGCTTTTGGAGTCTCCACTTGCACAGGAGCTCCTTGGCATCATCTGTAGCTGACAGTTTCCATCTGTTCTTCCTGCCCTGCGTGTGTTAAAATTCTAAAGAAAGCAGGATATTAGATCTATGAGGAGACACCAAGGAAAACAAATACCGGGGGGGGAAAAAAGCAAAGAGAAATGGGTAATTACAGGGGATATGGAGCAGCAGGACACATAGAGAAGATCCCTATGAAAGTAAGTAAGAATCAAATTGACTGTAAGTAGATCTATTTAGAGGGGATGATATACAGGAAGCAAAAAATGCCATTGGTAATTTATCACATACAAATGTGAGGGAGGAAAATGTACATAAAATATCAAAACAGTGCACTTGTGGATTTGACAGAAGGGATGGCAGGTCCTCACATGTGAAGTGACAGCCAAATACCCTTTAGCTGCTGGAGGACAAGCTTTCACTCAGCCCCAATGAAAACAAATTCTTGGAGTGATAGAAGCATATTTCCCAACAACAGCACGAGGACATCTCATTTTTGGAAGGAGAGGAAAGCAGCATAAATTCAAATCTGCATATAAGAATTGTTACAAGGAGCTGGGTCTCCTGTGGGATCATCCTTACCTGTAGTGAAAGCCCTGTGGAGACAGAGGAATGATAATATGTGTTCCCACTATTTGTCATTTTGGGATTGGTAGAGACTAACTGAATTGATTTTCACCATCCTTCCCTAATCCTTATCTATGTAACTGTCCTATATTGAAGTTATTACTTAATTCCTTAGGAAGTGTAGGGCTTTAGGAGAATCCCCAGAAATATTGCTGAACCACTGAGAGAGCAGGGACAAAATTAAATTTTTGCTTTCAAAGGCTCCAGGATTATCCCAGGAGCTCAGAGAAGGTAACACCAGTGGATGGGATAGTTTTAAAGGAAGAAGGAAAAAAGCTCCCATGTTTTTAGATCCTTTGGCAGTGGACAAGTCACTTAATCTATACTTAACCTATGTTTCTCCAATATAAAATGAAAACAGAGTCTTCCTACTCATAAAATAAAATCCATTAATGGCTGTGAAGCAGCTGGGTATTAAAAGGTAAAGGTCTATTTGACTGTGATTAGTACTTTTAACAACCTTAATGTATATAAACTGTAAGTAACTAGATGGTCATATAATTCATCTGTCTTAGAGCAGCTTGGTATAGATTTTCAGAGATAGCAGATTGTTCCTATTACTTACTCTAAGGATCAATTGCAACATTTATCATAGACTTCCATTTTATTTTGTAAATCTTTCAATACAGTGATTGAAGAACACTTTGAAAGCAAATGAGTGCAAATCCTAGATATTGTTTGAATTGTAGGGGGTATTTTGGACCATCCCAATCAAAGAAAAAAACATAATCAATAGAGTTACACAACACAGAAATGTTATGTTTGTTCAAGGAGGCCGTTAGAACACAGCATTCATTTGCAAAATATTTGGGATAATAACCTATCATTCACTCATGGAGAATTGCAATGTGTAAGTTGATTTTCAGTCAAAAAAATACTTGATATCCTTTTGAAACAAGAAATTGTGCCATCACTGGAGTCTTGCAAGGTTGTGCACAGAGAGGAAGCAGCATATTAATATGAAATTTCCATCTTTTTCATGCTTAGACGGAGCAGATCTGAAGTCAGTTCATTCACCAAAGTGGCAATTTGGAATGACTTGACAAAGCTCACTTGAGGCAACGTGCTCTTGCTGGTTCCCTTTAAATATGGATTATGGAAAACTGCTGAAGATTTTTGCATATTTCAATTACCACTTGTTCCATTTGCTTACATTTTACCTGGTTGACTAAAGAAATAAAGTTTTTCTGAGCATCTTCTGGCTTATACAAAATCTAGTTAATTAAGACATGCTATACTTTCTCCCCAGAGTCAAAGTATAATGTTCAGCTGCCCGACTTGCATGAATAATCCATCACTGGGAATCATTAATTTAGAAGACAAGCCATGGTAATTGATGTCTTTATGCAAGCTATGAAAATGCTTAGGGAAATCACTTATTTCTTCTTCAATTATTTTTTTTTCATTTGTTTTGGAATCTTTCAAGGCCTGAGTAGCATGGATTCTGAAATGGGTTTACCCAAGAGTAATGGTTTCTGTGGGAATCTGGTCCGTTTCTTGGGTTTGAGTAAAAACGAGAATATTTTTAATCTGAAAATGGTTTAAAATCGTAAGACTTAACCTTGTGCACATGTACTGGATGAACCTGTTTGAGTTTTGGAAGTTTCCAGTAGAAGGACCTGGCATAGTGATATGAGCAGGAGCCTTTATGTGGTAAAAATGCCTTTAAAAATCCTGTCATAATTATATCTGTAATGCAAACAGGGATTGCAACCATTAACACCTGCTGTGTAAGTTGCTATTTAGACCTCTCTATATTACAGGATGAGTTGCCAGCATGTTTTTCTATTTAATTAAGCATATAAAAGGTGGATGATATGTATATTTTGTTGCAACACTTACATTTAAAGTTAATTTAGCACATAATTCATAAAGTTCATCCATATGTTACCGTATATGTAACCATCAGCAAGAAAAGTTGCCAGTTTTGTTTCCTTTCTAGGAATCTCTGTACTTTCACTCCTAATTGAAATATTAGTGTTTCCTACCAATTAACAATTATTTTGTCTGTGCTCAGAACAAGGAAGAGGCAGTTTGTTGCTATTGAGTGGGAGCCAACAGTGGTGGCATTTCAGGGACAGTTCAAAAGTGGAATAACCATAACCCATATATGGGTTAAAGCATATATAAGATATATAATATGGGTTAAAGCATATAGAGTATATATAATAATTTCATATATGCAAAATATTAGAGACTTCAAGTCTTTCAGTTGACTTTAGTGGGCCTTGGACTGCAAGTACATAGGACTGTGATGGGTTTTATTCTTTAGAATGAACTTCTTAAGTAGTTATTGTGTGGTCTGGAGCTGAAAAGCAAAGTGGACCATTTCTACACAGAAATTTAAGATGTAATGATTCTGACAACAGGCAGCAGACTTTTGCTGTGTGTGGTTTTGTTTGTTTTTTTTTTTTTTTTCTTTTACACTTGAATATTTATTTCCCATTTAGGCATCAAAATAGAGGCTTATTTGCTTGGCTGCTCCTGTTTGTTCCCAGCTGAGCCCTGGTGTGCTGCACTTGGAGAAACCCAGCCCTGAATTTTGACATTGTGCATAGGAACAAAAAGAGAACATGTTCACAATAAGCTGAATTCAAATAGGCTTTGCCATTTTGGTTTAATTTCGTAAGATATGAGAGGTGAAATAGTGCTGATAACTTCTGTTATTGAAAAATGATAATCACAACTTTTATGAAGTAGATAAACCATGTTTATTAATGCTTTCCTGGACATTCAGTGACTTGGCCCTGGGACATTAAATGCCTAAATGGGTTGTGTAATTAACTTTTTTCCACTTACAGATTGAGCAGCTAAACATGCAGAATTTTCTGAGAAACTCAAATTATTTTTGTTATGCTAGTTTAAGCCAAGGGGAAATAATTCTGATTTTTCAGGCCTTTTAAATAAAAGCAGAGCTGCACAGTGAGCAGAACTGGGTTCCTGGTGGACTTTGTTTGGCAGCCATAAATCTCACAAAACAGGGGCTACTTCAGTATTTCCATCTCTGACACAGAACAGAGATTGGAACTTTACTTGCCAGCTTTGCCAAAGAATTCCAAAATCCTTGAACCAAAACTGTGCTTGAAGGGATCTTGTGGATGTGGGTAGAGACCTCCCCAGGCAACCTTTTCCAGAGCTTTCTTGTCTTTGCCAGCAGAATTCTATTGTTTAAGTCCAACCTGATGATTTCTTACTACAGTTACAGGCTCTCCTCGACCCATGCACTCTGTGTACACAGAATAGTACTTTAGTTCCTTTTTTCTTCTCCCTCCGTGATTGATATCAAAGTTAGAGACTGAAATAAAACATCCCCAAACTGGCAAAGTTTAAGCTTTTAAATCCATATTAATTTCATACTTGGCTACCTCAACTGGCATCATTGTTAGTCCAAT